GATACATATGCGTACCGAACCGAAAGCACTGTATCGAACGGTTCAATATCGATACGAGTATCGTTGCACCCCTACTACAAAGGTATTAGATACAATGTGATAATATTTCTTTCATGCTCTCTGATGTGCTTGGGTGTTTTTAATGCCATGGTTTGTAATCTCACTTGAAGTTTGTGCTTGGAGTGTGTTTAAATTGAAAACTCAAGTGCTTTCTTCATTTATAGGCAGGGCACATGTCTCCTGTCCCCCACATCGTGTTGACAGATTGCTGTCCTGCTTCGCTCACAAACTCAGAGGATCCTGTCAGAGATTTAGGGAATGACCTTGTGGAGGGGACTCAATCACAAGATTGGACTGGTCATCATTCAGTCGGCAAGACTATAATTTCAAGGGGAAAGCATTCAGGGGGATTTGAAAGTCCTCCACAGCGAGAACAGTGTTCGGATAGTGAATTCAAACAGGAAGTTGCCCTGCTGGTGACAGATCTGGACATGAGAGTGGTGTCTCCTCTTGAAGCCCAAGAGCTCAGTGAGACTAAAGGAGATGTTCTTCACACTCTAATCATCTCACCGCAGACTAAGGAACTGTCTGAAACTCAGCTGAGTCACCGGCCTCTGCTAGTGCTCTTCAGGGTACAAAAAACTGTCAAAGAGGCCTACGAACTACTGTATTCCCTTGTGGCATCATTCGAATTAAAATTCTCCCATGCCCCAGACCAGCAGATGTCTCTAGCTGAGGCTCTCAGAAGCGGCATAGAGACAGGGGCTAGCATGCTGACATTTCACCACAAACCTGAAATTAGGTTAATGCCTGAGCTGAGCTCAGTAAGCAGTACTCTTAACTCTAATGGGTCAACTAGGTCTGCGGACACTCAGAGGAGAATGACAGAAGATGTCCGACGCACCACCTACAAGAGGCTGGACAGCTTGGAGGAGACTATTCGAGAGCTGGAAAACACATTGATAGAGATCAGTGGTCATGCTACTAGAGAGCAGCTCTACAGTCAGACAATCATCAACAGTAGCCCTGTACCGACGACTGGTAGTCCAACTGAGGTGAAGAAGCCGCCACTCCCACCCAAGCCATCCGCCTCGAGTCCATCATCAATCCAGGTTTTTGCTTACACCTCCTGTGTCCATTCCTGCTCTGAAGCAGCAAACTCTTTTTTTCTTCACTTCTTCTCTGTGGATGGCAGTTGGAAATTCACTTTCCAGCTTCTGATGTCTGCTCCCTGATTAAATCGGCATGCGACTGTATTTGAAATCGAAACCGTGCAGAGGGGACAGACAGCAGACTTCCTACCTACTTGTCTGTTCTGTGATTAGTGCTGGGGCTGCTCTCCTGCTGAGCTCAGAGTTGTTAATTGTTTTTTATTGATCTGTCCCGGTATCTCCTATCTGTCTGAGTCTAGCTAATTTTGCCTTTTGTTACACCAAGAGGCAATAAAAAATAAATGCATTTTCCTCTTCTCCTTTTCTGCTCTTTACTGGTTAGTACGATCTAATTAATTTAATTTCTTATCTTAGTTCTGCCCTGAAATCCAACTTTCTTTTCCTCACTAATCGTCTTAAGCACAAAGCAGTACAACAGCGGTTGTACTTTATTAAAAGGTAGCGCGAGGACATATTTACATTAAGCTGTATCTTCCATCATCCAGCATCATTTTGTTGTAAATTATGTTCTTTTTGCAGCAGCTGTTTTGACGTGTCATTGCAAGCTAAACAGACACATTATTAATGAGTTTAAGAATCTGTACATAGGCCAGGTCCTGGTATTGTTCATGTTGGCCTACTTAAATGCCCTGCTGTGACAAGTCAGAATGGCAGAGTGGCTATGCTTACATGGAGCCTAATATTTCTATTCTGTGAATGTTCACTTTAAAAGACCAAACACAGTAGAAGTTCCCCATATGAACACCTCAAGCACAATAAACAGGACGAGGCTCATAACCTTTTTAATGAGCTCAATTTAATTGCTGCCCTTTCAAATCATTTCAATGCAAGGAATGAAGAGTAACACATTTACAGCAACTTCTGCCCTAAACAGATGTGAGAAATCCTTTCTCGGGGAGCTATTCAGACATGCGTCACAGATAAAAGAGCCACTGACAAATGCAGATGTAGCACTTTTGCGACATTGTTTTGACTAAGTGCGTATTCATCCATCCACATAAATTTACAACGCTTGTAAACAGCTGACCCAAAATGTTTAATCATAAGGACATAAACAGACATTTAAACTGTTTAGCTGCTTTCAAATAACGAGGTAAAACTACAAAGAGAAAATTCGATCTAATAAGTTTAAAAAACAAAAGATTTCTTACCAAAGGCTAGTATCACGTCTAATATACTTCACATTAATATGTACTGACTATGTGCTGAACTCTATTACCAGATGTTGTCAGTGGCCTGGCTTTAGCTCACCTCCAGCTGACCGCTACACAACAAAAGATTAGTAATTATCAAAAGCATTCCTGTGTCAGCTGCCACTCGTCTGAGAGGTCTTGACAGCTTGCGTAGCACTCCCTGTTACTCTGATTGTAGCCTACCACTCAGGGCAGGGCTGCAATACTTGACAGTCACCCTGTCATGGTGAGTTTTAGCCCTCTGATGTAGAGCCAGAAAGCACTCCCATGGGCACGGCTGCGGATTACAGAGTCTTCACACATTATTTCATCACTCCAACTTCAACCACGTTCATCATTTCAACATGACCCTTCTTCCAACTCTTGTCCAACATTTGCTGGCACACTTACCAAATTCACACTGACAAGAAATCTACTTTCAGAACCCATTAGAGTTTAGTTTTTAATTAGCACATCAAACAGCAAGTTTACTTGCAAATTTTATGATCTAATTTTAAAATTCTGCTTCTCGTTAAAAAAGGATTTGGCGCAGAAGGAAGGTGGTTACAAGTCTTTCTTCTCTGATTTAATGTAGTAGGGGTAACTGACTATTTGATATTAGGGTTAATCTTTTGTTAGTTTTCCTTTTAGCTAATGTCTCTGTGTGCAGATGAGGCACAGTTGGATGGAAATTTGACTGGATGTGTATTTGTTTTCCTGTGTATTAGAGAGAGTCAATAGAGTAACTCAGCAGGAAAGATCATTAAGCACGCTGCCTCGTGGATCCTGTGGTGAGGCTAAGCTACGCAACGTCAGTTTTGATGCCGCATTTCTATATTCTGGTCTTTGTCATCTTCTGCTGATAGATAGTGAAACTCTGTGAAGTGGATAGTTCCATTTTATACCAACTATAAGCTGAGGTCTTAAAAACCTTATTAGTCTCAAGAGAAAGACTTGATAAAGGCTGGCCTCAAACTCTGTAGTAAGTAGATGTGTGTCTGAGGCTTAAATCGCATACACTGTAGAGGGGAAGTGAAATCTACAGACATCTGCTGTGTGACAAAGTGTTATTAATGGTTCTCCTCTGTTCTTCTCTTGTTTATTCTATTCTTAGGGAGGAACTATTTCAGGTAGCGGGAAGTTTCTCCACTCCTCGGCTGCCTCCAAACTGAAGCACCTGCAACAAAACAGCACAGAAAAGACTAAAAGTGGCAAAAGAGAGGACTTCATGAAGGTCCAGGGCCAGCAACAGGTACAATTTGCCTTTGTTTTGCGCTGTTGAGGCCAAAACGCACTTGATCTGGCAGTGTGGACAAGTTAGCTTTTAGGTATAACCATCTTAAGCACTTAATGAAGGCATATAACAAAATTGAGATATAAAAAACATGAAAATTACAATAATGATCATTATTGAATCGTACTGCCTTTATGCCCACAGAGTCACTGCAGTTGAAACTGTCAGAGGTTCAAAGAGAAATATGAAACTATCATTCCTAGTAAAATGCAACTGAAATATATAAAATCAAAGGTTTATTTATTGAAGTATGTAATTATTAGGGGAAAATGCCATATATACTGAATGTATACCAATAAAGTACATTTAATTTGACCAGATTCTGTTAAATTTCCTCTTTTACATTATACTTATGTAGTCATATCAGCATTTTGGGCATAAATATTTTTTGGAGTGCAAAAATCTGGGCCTACCAAAAATCAAGATAGAAAGGATAGTATTGATTTTGTTCTGTATTTAAGCAAATATAATTGCTTTCTTCCTCAAATAGAGACATATTTTGCGTTAATGTTTACGCCACCTCCCCAACAACTTCAGCAAGCCTTCGTTCAGAGTTATTTTCTCGAAAGCAAGTGTGTGTGCATCCATTCACGTAATCCACTCTGCACCAGATCAAGATTAAATGGGCCTTAACTACCACTCTTCACTGCCACTGGATCCTTTCTGTGCCCCGCAGAACCACTGTCACTTTTCAGCGTGATACATTCCTCGCCCTCTGTGTATTACAGTCTGTGTAACATTCAAGATGCAAACTTAGCAGACAGCAGAAGCGATGAATTGAATTCAAAGCCAGTTTTGCCATAAACCTTTTAATGTCACATTATTGTGACAGGCTCATCATCACAGGAATGCTCAATTGGATCAAAGGATTTTCTGCAGGCACTGTCCCACAGAGAGATGCATGTCACACAGGTTAGAGTGATGAAGGATTAGCACTTTAATTACCTAAGCAGTGTTTCATGTCTGAAAGTCTTAAGTGGCTTCTAATTATATAATTTAAACCTATTAAAGTGTTGTTATGTATTAGCATTATGGACGTGCTTGCATCTTTAACAGGTCTTCACTTCTGTTTTTTTCTGAACTCTGACAGAAAATTGGGTATGAAGAAACTCTTAAAAGCGCTTGAGTTTAATTTATAAAACTTCATAAACTCTCTCTCTAAGTATTTGTTGTTATGCATATGCCTGACAGCTGGCTTTTCATTCTTTTTTCAGTCTCTAATATGCTGGCATTTTAGAGGTTTAAAGTACAGCAAAAGACTGGACATAAGGATGCTAGATGGCCTCTAGAGGCAAGGAAATTGAACTGTTGGAGCATGTCGGTCAAGTAAAGCCAAGAGAAGATTTTTACAGCATGCCGGTGCACAGGAGGGGAAAAAGGCTTAATGTCAATGTAATTTGAAAAATAACCGAAGCAGTGAAGTGCACCTAAACCTTCATAACCCACAGAATTTGACAGAGCATTCAGACACAAATTCAGTCTTAAAGATTGAAAAATGAATGCGTTAGGCAGACAGCCAGAGACTTGAGACATGGAGGGCTTTGGTTGCCTCATACTGAGAGAAGATTGAGAAGAATCTCTACAGAGCCATGTAATAATCACCCCTTGAGTCACTGGCAATCACCGATTATTCATTATGAAGAGGGCAGTTCTCTTTCCACCATAAAGTCTTTCAGGTTTCCTCTTCTTTATGTCTTTTTCTTCCCCTTTCCGCTTTCTCTACTCTGCAATTTATGCATGCTGGCCCTTTCTCCGTTTCACTCTTCCTCTGTCAGTCTCGCTCATTCCCCGAGATTTGGAAGCTGAGTGGATGCCTACACTTGTGTAATGAAAGCAAAATTAATCCCATTATTTCAATATGACACTCACAGGCAGCACAGTCTCTTTGTCCACAAACTTCAAAACAGTCATTGTGAAAAGATGCTGTACGAGTGAAAGCGCTATCCTCCGAGGGACGGTGGACACTCAAAGCTAATTGTCGGCGTGGGAAGTCGGTGCCAAGCAGTTAAGGGTAGCAGCATACCACAACTGTGTGATGAATAACAAAGAGGAACAAATAACCAGCTGGTTTAGTGTAGAAGAATAAAGAGTCAGCTGTGGTAGGCGCTATAACAGCCAATAACTCTATTTTGTATTATTTTTAACGATGAGGGACTACTAGTCCCTTTGTACATTTCCAGGTGTTGTATAAAGACAAGTGAAAAACAATTATTCAACGCAAAAGTGCACTTGATATAATAATTAGCCACTTTATTAAATTGATGTTAAAATGTTGGTAGGCCTCCATTTTTAAAAATGCTGCCATAGTTTGTTAGCTGCTTTAAGGCTAAAGAGGTTAGTTGGTCAGATACTTGTCCTAAATATCCTAATATTCATTAATGGTGGCGATCCTCATGGATGAACATTTACAAACGGGCTTGCGTAAATGTACAAACTGGCAGTTTGACAACAGTTTTGATGCACAGTTAACAATCATTGAGGAAATAAACACTGGCTACTTGTAATCTGGACCTCTACTACTGGTCACAAAGTAGCTCTATCGTGAAAGTTGTGCATACATCTGCACTCTTACCTCCCTATCTGCTCGGTTTCCTTCATAAACATTGTCGAGCATTCTTCTTCATCTACCTAGCAGAGCCAAAATTTCCATCTATTCTTCCGTCTATTTTCTTCATGCAGTTCAGGGTTGCAGGGGTGTTGGAGCCTCTCTCAACTGTCATCGGGAGAGAGGTGATGTAGTCCCTGAACATGTCACCAGTCTACTTGAAAGCTAACACAGAGCGACAGACAGCCATTAATATTTACACCTTTGGCCAATTTAGAAACACTTATTAACCTGCTTGTTTTAGACCGTGGGAGGAAGCTGCCAGGGGGAAATTTAGCACAAAAATGGACTTTTTATCTTTGTTGTGACCCCTTGCTCTTGTTATGCACTGTGACAATCCCTATAAGTGAGGTTACCATTACCAGTTCATGCTGCAATGTGGATAAATTGCATATGGATTTTTTGCATGTACAGTGTAGTGTACCTCGCGTAGTTTACAACCATAACAAAATAACTCTCAACCAAATTTCATTGCTTAAAAAACAGCTACTTGAAAGTGTTTTGGGGGTTTTTGTATTTTTGTCATTGTAATAATGTAATCAGTAAACAAGGCAGCATGGTGGTGCAGTGGTTAGCATTGTTGCCTCACAGCAAGAAGGTTCTAGGGTTCCACTGCCCGTTCTGTGTAGCGATTGCATGTTCTCCCCTTGGTTTCTTAGGTTCTATGTATACAGAAGAAAATAGATGGATGGATATCAGTGCAACACAGTTTTTGCTCTACTTGCTGTCAGACCGTGTTTACTGTAAAAGGTCTGATATAACACAAACAAAAATATAAAAGAAGAGTTCAAATTGGTGAATAATTGCATTAAGGCTATACTAGTGATACTTATCTGTCTGTCTGAATGTCCTTGCATCATTAACTCTATACATATTTTTGAAATCTTTTTATGTCAAATGAAAATGGTGCAGAACCTGATAATTTAGTTTAAAGATGGATGGGGCAAAATCTATCTACTAAATCATTTTAAATTCAGTATAATGAAACAGCTGAGCAAAGACTAGGCAGGAAAAAACATGCTGATTATCTGCTGCTCATCTCATCAAATTATCAAGGCGGCTGGCTGATTTGCATACTGACTTTAAGAGCTAATTAAGAACTTTTGCCTAATCCACATTTTACTATACCTGGTATCTTTTTTTAAACCCCTCAGTGACATCTGGCGTGTCATCTTTCTGAAGAGAAATTCGACTTGCAGCTGCTAAGCAAAAACAAAAATATGATGTATTCTTTAATTTTATGAAACCTTAAAGTTTAGCTGATATTTTTGAACTGTGTAAAATGTGGCAATGACTACAGTTAATCACAGTGCTTCCCATCAACATTTCACCACCAAACTCACTGCTAATTTTTAAAAAATATTGTTGTTTTAACAATCAGATGTGCCCAGCTTGGGTGATCTCTCTCCTTGGCACCGAACTCAAGGTAAAATGGGCTATTCTCTTAAACATCTGCTGTTCGTAGCTCCCTAAATGGTCCCAAACTTTTACCCCTCCTTCCATTTCCCCTTGGTGTTTTTAGATTGTTCTCTTTTGTCTCTTCTTGCCAAACCGTAATGACATTTCTGGGGCATTTTAAATAGGGTCCAAACCCAAGGAACGAGGACAGCACTTCAGAGTCTCCTGATGGTCTGCTGTCCCCTGCTCCAGCTACTACACGAATAGACCTAAATATCTGAATACATTTAAATATCTTTACCACACAATGACACTTTCCTCCAGATTGCATGAAAGGCAGCTGGTGTTCATTCACTCATCATGACTAAAAGCCAGCTGGAAGGATAGTTTATTATTTTTAAGATAAAACGAGACCACTTTTTCGTTAAACGCGGGTCCTGCCGTTTCAAGAAAAAATACTGATTGAACATTGCGGCATTTCAATCACCATAAATTAGAATTATGGGGTAGGGATAAAGTTGGCCAGTCAGATTTTCGTAATGGACTTGCTACACCTTACCATAGTATAAAATGTAGCTTTATTCCCCCTGGAGAATTAGTTTCTTTTTTAGATTTAATTCTAGCGTTATCTATGTGTATTTGCAGGTGTTAAAATTAACAGAGCTTTTCTGATAGCGCCTCGTGCCGCTGTACTCGGGCTGCTTGCTCAATAAAGCTATACTGAGACATACTTAGACCATTTCAGGCATGAGGATCCTTCAAATCAATGTGTTGGATAAGAACAGACAGTTCAAAGCCACAATTTCTCTCCGTTTGCTTTGGCACAGATCAAGGAAGGCATGACAATGTGAATCACTTTCACGCTGCAAAACCCTATTTCCATTTCCCATTTGGGCACTTATTACTTCTGGCAGTAAAGCAGGCTAGTTAAAGGTGTTGGGCATGAGTTGGGGTTAGTAGGGGACTATCCATGGAGGTTATCATTTGGCAGGCAGGTCTGAGTGCGTGAGATGAAGGGGTGCTCTCCTGTACTCGCAGATCAGGAAAAAATGCGTCCACCAGGCTTGAGAAGAGTTCCTTGAGCAGAAGGAACAGCCCGGCTCTCTGGGAACGGTTGGCAGCCCAGGATCTGGAGCTGCAACAGAGCAGATGAAAGCCTCCCAGCAGTGCAGTCTAGACTAGCACACCTGCTGTCTTTTCAAGCAGAACTAATTCCCCTAAACACCAAAACAAACAGAATAAAACTTTTATAGCCACAGAAATCAACTTTTCTCCTGTTGCTTCATCTGAAAAGTACAAAAATAAATTTTTTGCCATATATTAAAAAAAATGAGTATTTACTTTTTAAAATGGATTTGCACATGAAACACAGAAACTGTTCTCTCAGATGTAGTCTGCTTAAGAAAGACGGACAAATACATGTTGTAAACGTATTGCTCACAAGTCTCAATCTACTGTTGAAACAGTGCCATCTAGTGTCTCATTTCTGCATTACACAAAAGGACTGAAAGTGAATGTGTACATTTTTAATGAGTCAACATTAATAAAACAAGTGTCAAAATAAAGGTGGTCAACAGTGTCATTTGCCCACTTTCACTGTTGCACCTTCTCAGTGGTATCAGTGATTTTGTTTATCACGTGTAGATGGCAGCCTGTGTTGTGGCTTGCATCACACAATCTGATATCAACCTGAATAACAATTTCCTGTGTTTGTTTCCTGTTCTGTTTTCACTCCCCTCCCCTTCACTACATGTTTCTTCTGACACTTGTTCCTGCGGTGCAACCTCACCTACCCCGTCACCCCGTGTGAACCTGTGCTGCCCTGCACCTCCTGGCCTGCCCATCTACCCTACCTATAAAACCTGCAGCAGTGAGCAACCTGTCCGTGTCCAGCATCTTCAGTTTCCTTCTTCTCCTGTTCACCTGACTCCAGAGATACACACAACCATCTGCTCCCTGTACCTTATCAACTACTTTCATATCCCCAATGTTTACTCTGATATATGGTCTGACACCCAGTCTGTGTAAGCGCGTGTGTGTGCGTGTGCAAGCATGCTTGCGCAGAAATGTTTGAGTGTAATAGTAAGGGAAGGTGCTGCAGGGCACAGTACCCAACCACAACCAATTTTAAGACTTTCATTTTTCATGATTTTTCCCTTCGACCCCTGAAAACCTCATCTCTTTACATTCCTCCTCTGCTCCCTCCTGTCTTCTGTGTCCCTATTCTACCTGAAGGCGAAAGGGACCTACAGCACCAGTGGCAGCATTGAGCCATACCTCTCTGGTATCAAAACGGGCATTTTTTCAGGCCGAGTGGCCTCTCCTGCGGCAGCATTTGTTCCTGGTCTGAGGAAGTACCCCCAGGAGGGGGCGATACCTGCACTTACAGCCTCCTCAAGCCAAGCAAAGGCCCTCTTGGCAAGCCTATCTGCTTCCGGCCTGAGCGCTGAGGCCTTGCTGCTTTCCTCCGCCCTTCGTCATCACCGCCTCCTACGTGAGCAGCGAGCCTCCTCCCTGCCCCTGCCCAGCAGCCAATCCTCCTCCCCTACTCCAACTGCTACCTCCTCCTCTTCATCCTCGCCAAGCACCCCAACTCCATCCCTATCTCCCTCCTCTCCCACCTTTGGTTCCTTTGCCTTCTCCTCTGGAGTTCTCAAGCCCAGCAGGCGTAGCCTCGACAGCTCCAGCCTCAACAGGTCCAAGGATGGTGGCAACAAGCCTGTGAAAAAGGACCTTTACCCTGGCAACAAGTGATGAATAGGAGGAGGATAAGGACTTTGGATACAGTTCTCAACCACAACCATCACATCATGAACCATAAAGATGAACTAGCTGCATTATGGAACAATATTCTTTATATTCCAGTTCTTATAAGATTTTTTAATTTTTCTTTTCTTGTTTTTTCTGCTTCCTTTTATTGCACAGTCTACCACAGTGTAAATGGAGTCACAGTTTTCTTCACGGACAAGTGTCCTACTCTGATCCAGTACCTTAGATCTACTGCAGTTCTCCCACAAAGTCATTCTGTCACCTTCCCAGATAGAGAGTGCACAAACAGGCCTCCCCTCCTACCAGCTGCCTGCTACAAGCTGATGTGGTCTGGCTGTATTTGCTGACAGCACCATTCTCACATACATACTCTCAGTGGGTTGTTAGTGGCATAGTTGAAATATCTAGACGGTGACTTTGATCATATAGAAAAAAGAGCTGCAATAATCACCAAGTGAGTTCAGTAGTTGTGTGTGTTCAGGATAGTAATGTTTTGACTTACCTGCATCACCTGACAGAATGTGATTCCACTCGGAAAACAAAAAAAAATTAAAAAAATCAGAAGGTGGCCATGGTGATGAACGAGGTTTCAAGCTGTTTAGTGTTAAAAGGGCATTTGTGGCTTTTTTTAAATCGCCTGTTTTAAACTCTAAACTGGTGCTATGTTTTCCCCTCTGTTTGTACAAACTGAGCTTACACAATTGTTCTCCCCCTCCTGTCTCGGAGTCGGCTTTAATTTAATTTTGCATTTTAATCTATATTTACAACCCTACAAACGAAATACTTGCATCAGCAATTAGGGACATTTAAAGTAGATGTCTAATTGGAAAACTGGAAACTGCAGCGCATTCACAAGAATGCAAAGAAGGCAGCAGTCCTGAAATAGCACAAGTCTTTTTAAAGAAACGACAAAGAGGCACGGTTACGCAAACAGAAGGGAAAAGTGCAAACGATGAATTGTATTCAAATGTTGGTTTTCATATGTGTGTATTAACTAGTTAATTATGACAATCAGGATGTTTCCACAGTAGCATCTTCTAGGTTGCTCTGGCATTACAGAGCCTGACATCACAACCCATCCCAAAGACTTAAGCACACACACTGATGAACAACACACAAACACACAGTCTCTCTCTCACACACACACTTGAAAAAGCAACCTGTACAGCACAGACTCACTTATTTTTTTCTTTCAGCCAACCTCATGTGAATAATCATCGTAGGTCACATCTGTTTCACCACTTATAAAGAGCACTCTGGTAAATTATGCTATATTAATCTGATCTCACCAGATCTACACTGATAGATTCTTTCTTTTGGGATACTTGAGTTCAAAATTAATCACATCAAACTTTAGGCCTTATTGTAAAATATAACACATTCTGTAAACGAGCAGATGACACAAAAAGCCTAAAAGTGAGTCTTACAAACCAAGAGCGACACGAGAGGAAAGTATTGAAATCTAAAGCAAGCACAGTTGACTCTCAAACACAAAATCCCCAATTAACGAGAATTAACTTTGTAATTCTTTTTAATTATGACAAGCACAAAGGATGAAGCATTCGCATATACATTTGATATGCTACACATTCGATTCCAAGTATCGCTTTGGTTATATTACCTGCATTTTGAGTCATGAAACTTTTATGAATGAAGGCCTTCAGTGTTTCTCAATGATAGAAACTCAAGTTGGGATTATTTTCAAGCACATCAAAGGTGTGTCAGTGTGAACCCTGCACGAGGAACCTCTTTGGAAGCTGCCTGTCCTGCGTGTTTGCCTCGAGGCAGCCTGCTGGGGAGGTGAAGTAGCTGAATGGACCGTAACCGACAAAGTGATTCTTCTCAGTGGTTCTCCAGCATGACTGTGTGAAATCGATGCTTTGTGGCATTGAGGTTTAAAACATGTGAAAAGGGGCTCATGTCAAAGAGTAGGCAGCTTTAGGAGAGGGGATTAGTTTGGGGACATGTGTTTGAAGGATACTTTAATAAGGCCGGCTTTAACTCGTCCTGTATCCATTGAGAGCGCTTGTGAAATAAAAGACCCAAAGACATGAGAGGAAGGGTCTGACAGCCAGAGGGCACTTCTTTCCCTGCCCTCTTCACTTTGCATTCTTTGGTGTGAAGGATCTCTGAAAGTCAAAAGTGCTCAGCTGATGTTATCCAAGAACAAAGTTTGACAAGCTTCAATTATGAACAATGTGTGCAATATATAATTAGCGCTCTTGCAATTTTACCAAGGCAGTGCTCTTTGCCTTTGACATACTCCTGCCTGCTTATCTACAAGGACCTGTACCATGTTTTTCCCAGTGCCTCTAAGACGTTGCTCCTGCCAGAACCCCCCAAATGATCTTGTATTACAGTAGTAGATCAGCAGCAATGACAGAATAACCCTTTTACCCAAAGAAGAAGCTGCGAGAACTGGTTTGTTCCCATTTTTCGCAGATAAAAGAAAACGGCACTTGAAATGCAGTGTGTCAGGTTGCAGCAGTGGCATTTGACTAAACAATCCCCAGCTCTAACAGTGTGCAAGCTCGCAGCACAGCGAATTAAGTCTCACCCCTGGGTGCTCTGTAGCTCTGCCAGGCAGGTTCAAGCCCCGGGTTTCATATTGAGTGAAGTCAAATGAAAGAAATTCACTTACTCATGGTGTTCCACACTCAAATCCATAACTCTCCAAGTTAAATTTGCTGCATTTGCGTCTGGTGAGCAATGGGGAGGAAGCATGCACGCTTGGCTGCTTTCCCCTAAGTAAAGTCTGAAATGAAACCCTCCCAGAATTGCGTGACAGTGCTCTCTGGACTTTTTTTTTTTTTTTTCAAGACAAGTGTTAGCGGGCTGTGATTTCAACATGGCTGGAGGTTTAGAGGGCATGTCGAAAAAAAAACTCACAGTGGATGCCTCTGGCAATCAGAAAAACTCAAACTTGAAATGAAACATACAAGAAATATACATATATAAATATATCTAAGTGAGATGTTTGTGTATGATAATATAATTGTGAAGAAAATGTGATATATATATATATATAAATATATATATATAGGCCTAGATTAAATTATATACTGTAAAATGTCATCATATCTTCTGTTTTATATATTAGTGATCATTTTGTACAGATTTTTCTTTTTTTAATTCATTGAGAGATATTGCATTTCACACTGAGATTATTTATTCATATGCAGAACATTTTTATATTTGTTTAAAATCTCTGTATAGATAAGAGTTAGCCTCTGTAATATACTCTGAAGTTAGTTCATTTTTAAATTCTAAATTTTTCTTTACGAACACCAAGTTAGATTTTATGTAATTTTAATTTGTAAAGAAAACACACACATACACACACAAAAAAAAGCTTTTCCCTGAAAATACTCGTCCAGCTCGTGTACACCTTTGCCTCTTTATGTGAAAGGTCACTTTAAGATATAAGAGGCTGGACCGGTGCCTGTGTGTTGGGCTTATTTTGCTACTGTTGTTTTATTTTGGGAAGGGTACTTTTTTCTGTAACTGCGATCAGTTTCTGTTTTATTTTTAATTTTGTTTTTTCGTTTCTCCCCATTCTGTGTCGTGATGATTGACCTGGTATTAATGATACTGGAGATGGTCGGAAACAGATGTAGTAACTGTGAGTTTGTGGGCCTGAAAGCGTCATACAAGGCCTTGCTGCTTTGGAAAAAAAAGGAATATTACTTGGCTTTAATTTATCTCTGTGTCATGCTTGGCTGTGAACAGGGATGGCAGGAATGTGGATCCTCAGCGCAGACAGATTCAGGCAGGTGGAAGCTCATTTTTGTTGCTTATATTGCTCCACCTGTTCCTCTGAGTGGCTTTACATAGCAGTTATGCTAAACCATAAATGTAAAAAAACCAGAAAGTTGGATTAATAAGGAAATTATGTGGAGTTTTATGAATTTAACCTTTTATCTTTTCTTTTGCCATTGTATCTTTTTTTTTTTAAATATAATGAATCTACATTCTATAGTATGTATATGAGATTTTTACATGAATGTGTGGATGTTCCAAACTCTTGGCATCAAAAGTAGAAAAACAAAATTGACTTGTAAATAGGCCAAGTCATTCCTAGCGAGTTCAACAAATTGTTATGTCCAAAAGAAGATGTTTAAATAATAAACTATGACGATGGGTACAAAGGTATATACAAAACAATGCATGTATAGTCTCAAGCAATCGCACGGTGATTTTAAAATATGTTGTCTACATGTTTTCTCAGAAATGTGAGAATAAAGCAGAGAAGGGTTCTATGTTATAGGTTTACAAACATGAAGGATGAGACATTATTTTGGTATGTGTGACACGGGCATGTTCAGTCTTACTGTGACGTTATGTGACAATGATGATAGTGGCTGAGAGTGCGAAAAGGAGTCAGGAATGCTTGAACGCACCCCAACCAGAGAAGTCACCAGTGATGGTGTCCTCTTTCCACAGAGTAACTCTCCCATTTGTAGAGTAGTGTGATATAAGAACAAAAATAATACAGAAAATAGATCTATGATATAATGATACATAAATTTAAAAGCCTACTGATACTGGAGATACTAATTTATCAGTGTGGATGCCATGATATTCTGTGAGAAATGTGTGTGTTTTTCCTGTGAGAAGACAGCAGGCAGTTGAACCTGCCTTCTTTTGTACATAAGTTGCTGTGATTGTGTGTCAAATAAAGTGCAGCTCTCTTGTACAGTCGTAGTGTCTGATCTTGCTTTAAACTGACTTGTCAGCAAGTGAAGCTTTTTAGACTTTATTATGACAGGAAAGCTGGGAGAAAGGGAAGACAGGCAGCAAATGCCCCTGAGTGGGTTCAGACCAAAGCCTCTGCAATGGTCCTGTGGCATATGGCTTGCCTGCTCAACCTAATATCAAATATTGTATTATATGACAGATCCAGTAATCACAGACCTCTGAGACTATGGTCACAATGGTTAAAAAATGGTTTCTTTTAAAAACAAAGTATTTTTTATTACTGAATGGGTAACAGTATACCAGTAATACAAGTTTAATACAAATCCATTAGAAATACTTAAATGGTTATGTTTTGTAACATTTCAATTAAAGTTTATGGACTGTTTATTATTAAAATATTTCCAACTTTATATTTACAGAGCAAAACGACACTAATATGTCGTTAATACACACTGCCAAATGGCTAATTGTAACACAGTTGTATATACAGAATGTTTAAAACTTGTCTTCTGCTTGAATTTTAATGAGTAATTCCAGTTACAATTGTTTAGCAAAAGGAAATTTGTAAAGAAAAGAAAAAACTGGCTTAAGTGTCCTGGCGCTGGGCTGGCCGACGACCGTCTGCCCGCCTGTATGGTGAGTTCCTCAGATCTAATGAAAAACAAAGACAGACGTGCATAAACGTGATGGTGGAATTTCCCCTTCATTTAAACATCAAGACTGCAGCAGACAACTAAAAATGATTCTCAAGCAAGAAGCATGTTACTCTACCTGTGATGATGTCCTCCAGTGCACCGTCCTTCCCCTCGCGTACTGGTGGTTTCACCTGCCTCTTCTTCAGCTCTGCAATCAGGTCCATCTGGGGCATCTTAGGCATCATTGGGCCCTTTAGAAATCACAAAGTTAAAGAATATTTTGAAGTACATTTCTGAATGACTCATATTTTACACTATTTTATTTAATATAGGCTTTAAAAAAAACCTATAGGTGACTGCACACTAGCAGTATGTATAGTTTCTTACCTTTTGTGGTCCAGCCTTGTTTGGAGATGGTGACTCTTTAACCTCACGGCTCTCGCTCTCCATTTTCTTCTTCTGTTCAATCTCTTGCTGTGCCGTCTGCATTCAGACAAGGGACAGAGGATTAAAATATAGCTCACGAGTTATAAAGGACAAATATCAGAACGCTACCACAGAAACTCACTTTATAGGCCTTTATGAAGCGCCCAAACATGGGGAAAAACATTGAGGGCTGCGTGGTTTTAGGATTCTCTCCGAAGTACTCCACCACAGAGCCGTAAGCCTCCTGCACGCAGAACAGTAGATGAATACGTTTCAGAATATGGTGAGACATTATTTAGAGTTGAGAGCTTGATAAGAACTTCAGACAAACCTGTGCTGTCTTGCTATCTTTGATTAAAGTGTCCAACTGTTCGCTATTTGTTTTAATGAATTCCTTCAACACGGGGCTGTCATCCTGCACCAGGAACTCCTTTTTGGTCATCTCCATTCCTCGCTCTAGAGAGCGGATATCTTGAAGAATGCTGTCAAGAGAGACTGGCAAAGAAACACAAGTGAGTTTAAACTTTTTAGCAAATTAAAAAGAAGGTTGATTGGTCAGCCTGAGTGTGTGCATGTACCAAGGCCTGCCTTGTCTACAAAGTGTAGCTCGGTGTGGAAGTTGACCAGGTCTGGGTATTTTTCCTGGATAATATTGGTGATGAAATGAAGTAACGTCTGTGAGCGGTCAGTGGATTTGGTGTCCAACAGCTGAAATATGAAGATGGTGAAAAATGTCATTGAGCTTCCATAAATTGAAAAGCAAACAAAATAAAATAAAAACAAAAACAAAACACTACTTACGAGATCCAGACTCTGCAGTCTGAAACCACAAGCTGCACCTCTTTTACTGCTGTTCATGTAGTTACCGAATGCAAGAACAATCTGAAAGGAAATAAATGGGTTAAGAGAACCAAATGTTACAGTTAGATGCCTCATTAGCATTCATACTGTTTTACTTACCTCTAGGATCTTTTTTAGTTTGGTTGAAGACTTGAGAGACATGGATGCAGAAATGATGGAGTTCAGTTGCTGTGGACGGAGTTTAAAAAAAAAAGAAGTATGTATGTGAGTAAGTATGTGTTTATAATCCCTTTCAGCCCAAGTTACAAAGCATTTAACAGACTGACCGGCTGCAGCCGTTTGACGCTGTCTGGAAAGTTGCCCATGAAAGTCAGAGTGTTTATTCGCTGGTTGAGGCGAGGAATCTTCCCAAAGCGTAAAATAAATTGGTCTTCGTTGGTCAGCTCATCCAGTGGACGGCCATCTTTCTCATAGTTAGCAAGAAGCTTCATCTCAAAATCTGATGGTATGAATGGTTCGAGCAGTTCCAGGAAGTCTATGGACAAAGATTGCTGGTCGTACCTGTACAAACGAGGGTTAGAGTTAGTGTAGGCAATAAACAGTGTAAGAGGCAGGGTGAAGGAAGGAACAGAATATGCCATTATGGCAAAAACATCTGCTGAAGGTCAATAATGCAAAAGTAAGCACATACATTTCTATGGCCGTGCAGATATCGGCCGGGCTCATTCCCCCCTTGCGTAGAGTGATGGCCAGATTTTTGGCTTTATTGCCATCAATCAAAGATGTCTTGGTGGGGGCTTTCGAGGTCATCTTCTTCTTAACCTTGGACAGGTCAGCTGGGTTACCCTGGGCCCTAGTTTTGAAATGTTCCTCAAACATTTCCATATTCAACTCCTGAGGTAGACAAAAAAAGAGCCAGGGAGTGTGCTCACATTAGAATTTCATTTTCTTTCAGGATATTATTTCTGCTGTATGTAAAAGATGCAGAAAGCATATTCTTACCCCCAAGACTTGCTCATCATCTAGCTCGTTGAAGACTGTGCCTGTCACTTGGTTTGGTTTTAATGCCTGCCAGTTTAACAGAGGCATCCTGAACTTGGTCTGAATAGGCTTCCTGCTCTTAGCCCCTGAGAAAATAGAAAAACAAGAGGAATGGTTAACACTTTTCTTTCATCATGTTTCTTTTTTGGGGGGGAGGGGGTATTCAGCATTCTCCTCACCAGAGTCTGCAGATGGTGCACCAGGAGGCGGTGGTGGTCCACCACCAGGTGGGGGAGGTGGGGGTGGGGGGCCAGCTCCAGGGGGTGGAGGAGGAGGTGGAGGGCCAGTGCCAGGGAGAGGAGGTGGAGGTGGGGGGGCAGCTGCAGAGCCAGAAAGAGGTGGAGGAGGAGGGGGTGGTGGTGGTGGTGCAGGACCTCCTGGTAGAGATGGAGGTGGTGGAGGTGGAGAGACAGTCTGCTCTGAGCCACCTGGAAGAGGAGGCGGTGGCGGTGGCGAAGGGATGCTAGATGACGGGGAGGTTGGAGCGCTGGCTTGGTTGGCTGGGGCTGGGCTTTGAATGTATTCAACGACTGTGACAGGCATGACTTGGACGTCCAGACTTCCTGAGGCTGTGCGTCCCACTCGGATTAGCCCTTTGTCCTGCAGCTCCTGGATCTTCTGCTCTAGCTCTGAAGGTCCCTGAGGGCCAGTGATACCCAGCCGCTCCCTGTCCTTCTCCCTCTCCCTGTCCAGCTCACGCTCTCTTTCCCTCTGCTGCAAAGTGCTAACCTGGGAGCATGACTCTCGCAGGCTTTCCTACAAGGGACAAGTGCGCAGAGTTGTAGCATGGTCAAGTTTAATTGAATACTTTTGGATTAAACCTTAAAAAGTGGTGACAAAAACATAAACAAAAGACAGTTTGCTATATGGTTTTATGCCATCATATTTTCTTTTGACTTATTCTAAATCCAAATTCAATGATGGGGTTTTTCCAGACATAACTACTGGGCAAAATAAAGTATCAGCCATATACTGCTGTTAAATAAAAAATGATCACCATTTCATACATTTTGTCATTTTCTCCTGTAGCTGTTATTAAGTTGATATTGTAGTTTGAAATAAAGGGGGGAGACCACCTGGCGTTACCATGCTCAGGGTTATGCTCATACCATGGCAAAAAAAAAAAAAGTAATTTCGACATTTATTCAAGTCCTTGTTTTTTTTTTTTACATGCTTTTAACCTTATTTAAACAACTCTGTGTAAAGATTACATATGTTCCTTGGCTAACTCGAAGGCAGCACTTACTTTGAGCAGCTCAGCCTCCTTTGTGGCTTGCATGAGCTGAGTCTCCAGTTCAGTTATTCTGTCTGCTGTCTGGTTCTCAATCTCCTGAAGCCGTGCACTCAGCTGCAACACCACACAAGCAACACTGCTTCAGCACGATTTCACGTAATGTGCAACAACATTGCCGCCGTTTATTCACTCAGATTCTTCTATGCCAACCTGAACGTTGTGCTCCTGTAATTCGTCCACATGCTCCAGCACCCCTCCTCTGTTCTCAGCATCCTCCAGCAGAGCTCCCACATCTAACACATTGTCCAAGTAGGCCTGGATCTGGACCTGCAGCTTCTCGCTCTCTGTCAGCTTCAGAGTCTAATACACAAAGATACACACTATTGGTACATCATAGGAATAAATTATCACTTACAAAATATCACAGAACATGATTCTGTTTTAATAAAAAAAAATGTAATTTATGAGAATGAAACATGAGGTTTTAAGGCTAAATTTAATATCTTAATGGCAGAAAACAAAATGTCACTATGCCATTTATCTTAATATTAGCACTAATTAAACTTTGTTTGTTTTTTTAATCAAAGAAAGGAATACATTTCCCTTAACTGTGAAGTGAGGAAGTGAGTGTGTGACAAAAAAGTAGAGTAAAAGTATAAATAGAGTCATTCAGGATGAAGAGGCGACAGCTGAGTAAAAGAGGAAGAAAGTGGGCATTAGAATTGAACATCTGGATACTTGAAGTTGTTAATTTATCAGAAAACTGAATATTTAAGTGCTATATTAAAGTATTTTTCTTTCTCACTATAGGCTTGAAGTTGTCAGAAAGAGACATTATAAATTAAAAGCAAAGAAACCCCCTATGAATTCTTTCTCCAACACAGTGCACATAAGTTAAACTTCCATAGGCCTGGTGCATGCACTAATACCCCTTTTGTACCACAAGATGGTGTAGCAAGTCTTTGTCACCTCCAGTTAACACCAGGGGGTGTGGAAACACCAACAAAGAAGCAGATTGTAAAAGGACAGGTGTCTAGTGAACTGGATGGCAAACAATGATTCATGCACCCTTATCATCACCAGCATGAAGTTCCGAAAAGAAACTATGTCTGGTTTATAAATGATAAAATCGGCAAAACAAGAAAAAACATCTGACAAGCTTTCTACCGCTGGGACAGCTGTTGGAGTGCAAAGGAATAAATGATCACTTCGACTACTGAACTGGCACTGCTTCTTCTAGTCTGGTAAAATTAAAGCAGTTAATGCTAATATTTTCCATGGGGTGTTAGCTTGTAAAGAGAGAGTACATGGTATCTGTCATGAAAGTTGTTTGGCTTTGTTAATAACTTAACAAGATGTTAAGCGACTGACCTCTTGTGAATCTAAAAATATAATACAATTGCTGTATATCATTCATTATCACTTAATAGTTATCTACCAAACTTTTAACTAGGTCAGCATCTGTGCTTCCATTTAACACTTATTGTACTGCAGACTAACACAGAGAGACAACTATTCTCTCTATCAATCCTAAAACCAATGTAGAATCACCAGTTAAGAAAATCGCATGAAGCTGAATCTGTTTATCTGGAAATAACACAGCCCATTTTAGATACAGTGTCAAAAGATACATTTCTATTAGCTGTAGCTTTTCTGGTCTTATGAGGGACTTTAAACAAAATATACACACACCTCTAGATACTTGTCTAATCCAAGGTGAGTGAACTCATATTGTAGATGGACACGGAAGTTCATGTTCTCCACTGAATGGACCACAATGTTTATGAACTGCATGCAGGCAACCTTTGGGTAGAAACGATGAGAGTTAAATGTCGTTCATGCACACGATCTCTTGGTGAAGCTGCATCCAGTGGCCGTGGTACCTACCATGAAGTCAATGTTGTTGTCATCATTGACGAAGTACTCCATGAGCTTCTCAAAGCGGTTCTTTTCTTTGCTCACCTAAAAAAACAAACAAATAAAAGCTTGCTAAATATGTATTTTTATTATTGTGAATATGGGAGGATTAAAAATAATGTGTTAGCCCACCTCAGAGAACATTAATACTGAGAGTATATTCTGCACCTAAGTACGGTACATGAGTTCAGTAAACATGCATGACTTCTAGACATGTGCTAAAATTATGACCATAGTGCATGTGAGCAGTAGACTGTTAGTCATAAGATGAGCAATGAAAGAGGAGAAGTCTGAAATAATTAGATGACTGAACAGTCAAAGTCAAATAGGGCTCTTGCAATATGAGGAAATTGCCAGAAATTTTTTTTTTTATTATCTCACCTCTTTAAAATTGTCAAAGGCAGAGAGAATGATGTCGTGTCCTCCTCGGACGAGACACACGGCAGCCAGCAGCTCCAAAACAAGAGCTTTGGTCCTGCCACAACAGAGGAGGATGGGTGAGATGTGGATGCAGACAGTTAACACACTTTATCTCACAGACAAATGCGCTCACCTGGGATTCCTGCTGTTGAGACTGAGGGTGATCTCATTCACGCAGCGTGGGTGAGTCATCACCAAATTAAAACCAGACTAAAAGCAGACGGAAGATATATAAACAGCTGTTCACTCCAGAGTAAATGTGATCAAATGTGCAAGAAACAAGAACTGTTTCTTTTAGCAACCCAGAAAACATGTCATATACTGTGATAATCCATTTTAAAGACAGCATAGGAATTAAGTGACTTTATTAGACTGTGTGCTAAAGCTTTACCTGATAGTTCATGATGGCTCGCAGGCACATTATGCACACATGTACATCATCTCTCTGGCTGTTTATGTGGGACTTCTTATGCATCTTGTTTACCAGAGTGGTGCTTATTCTGTGAAGCAGTAATACATGTTGGAATACATGTTTGAGGGAAGAGAATCTCTTGCATGTGCAAATGATTTGAAGTCGATGCCAGGATATGGTAAGATATGCAGTGAGATACTTGTAGCTTTGACTTCTAGGGTTTGGGACAGTAACTGTGTTTGACAGATGCTATGTAGCACAACATGGAATGAAGATAAAGGATCAAAGACGAACTAACAAACAGTTAGATGACCACGTGAGGGGATCTGAATGAATGAGAGCATGAGAATGTCAAGGGTTATCTTTTTTAAGAGGAGGCTGTGCTGTAGCACTGTTTCGGTTAAGTTACTAAACCTAAACCTATGTTTCATATTGTAGAGTTATAATCTTATAAGCTCTAACTTATATATCAGTTAGAGCTGTCACTTTATTTCACAGTATTTCTATTTCTGGGCTCACAGATTTCCTCAAATTCAATCCTAAATATTTATACATCAACAACTTCTTAAAAGAAAGAGAGGTGTAGCATGGCACAGTTCTCACAGCAGTGGAAACCACTGTGGTACTTATCAGTACCGCAGAAGTTCGTGGAGTTTTCACACCACTTCTGCTTTGCATGAGTCTATTTTTTGACAGTGTGTAGAGCTGCTTATGTTTAAAGTTCATTCTTCATTCAAAGGGATTTGAACGGTGCGACATCTCTGAAACCATCGCTGAAGGTTACCTCAGTAACCTTTCAAGTCTCGAGTTTCTTACCTTACAGTCAGTGCACGAGCTGCTCTGGTCATGCCATGTGACTGATGGCTGCTGGAGCTCTTGGTCAAGTCTTCCATTGACCTTTCTGCTGATTTTCCTCTGTCTGACAGGCTGCCTCCATTTTCTATAGCCTCAACCTCAAACCTTAAACGTGTAAAGATAGACATCTTTTTAACATAATCTATAATAGAATAATTACGTTTCGAAACGCAGTCAGATTCTAAAATAGCATTCATGTCTGCTTAGTACTCACGAGCTGTCACTTTGTGCGTAGGACAGGTACTCCACCAGAACATCCAAACCTTTATTCTGTTCATTGAGAAACTCCTGGGCCCATCTTCAAAAAGAAAAGTAAATCATGAGGAGTGACCATATGTAATAGATTCTGTGCCCAGACTGGATTTATAGCCAAAGATTGTAACTTTAGAAAGAAAACAGAACACAGTCCTACTCTAAATATGGAATCCAGCACAGTCAGGTGATTTTCTTTTGCAATCTTACATTTTTTTTGACAAGTTGCACTATGAAGGAAAAAAAATGCAACAAAGTCAAAGGGCTAAAAAAAAACAAAACCCCAGACTATTTCTGCACTGGCTTTATCAACTTTTCCACTTTATGTACAAATGTAACAATACATTGAAGCTTTAAGTACTGTTTCTGTAAAAGGTTGTATATAAACTATATATAACTGTTGGTGCGGTGAAGAACCACTTCAGCAAAGTTGTTGATCAGCAGCTGAAAAATATCAAGTGAAACTAAAACAGCTAAATGGTTTATGTAGGTAAAGTGCACAGACAGTTTGCAGTTTCACTAAAGTTCACCTTAAATCGTCTTTTAGCGTTAATGATTGATAAAGATTTTCAGGTTGGATTGCATGAAACTGCTATAAAAATCTGGAAAACATACTTGTGGCGCACTAAAAACCAAAATAAAATGCGTTACACCTTAAACACTGATAAACCAAACAGAGGCTCATGAAACAAACAGGCTTACCCAATGTGATTGGTCCGAAGGGATATCTCCAAATTTTTAAGGACCTGGGTGGCATCTTGGATCCTTTTCTTCAACTAAAAAAGCAGAAGAGGTTAAAGTCACTGATGCAGGTACATGATGCACGCATATGGAGGTGATACATTTGAAAGAACAAAAATGCTTTCTACTGACCCTACGAGACACCCCTCCTTGATCCTGGTAGAGGCTTTTGATCTTGGTCAGGTAAGTGGATGGGGGGCTCTTCACCTGGAAACGCTCCTGTGGGAGAATATTTTACAGAGGATAGAGTCAGCACATGCTGAAGTAGAATTAATTTAAGCAGCGACCCCAAATAATGACTGATCCAGAACCATATTTTACCAGCAAGCTGCATTTGAAGTTATTCTAGTAAACACAACGAGCACAAACCGCTCTCTGTTTCCATGCCGACGCCTCTATCAGTTGCCACCACAGAAACTATGTTGCAAGGTTTGCAAAGACTCTCCCCTTTGTGTATTTGCGCACTTTATATCAACTCTGCCCCCAGTGGAGCCAACGCTGCAAGAATCGTGTCCATTTTGATGGCATATGCCACTCATAAAAAACAAATAAAAGCTCTCACCTGATCACAGACTAATTCCCATTTCTTTTCATTGTCGTATTGACTCAACAGCTGGAGTTTATCTGGAGGCAAGTTCATGGAACTCTGAAAGAAGAAAGATGTAAAGATATAAAATGGGTTTTAGAATTTACATGAAAATGTATTTGGAGTACAAAAAAATCAACTCCATCTCCACTGATATTTAGCAGAGAGATATTATACTATATGTTATAATTTCTTTGTGTTTCCTGCTCATGTAACAATATGCAAAACAACAATACCTCAGATGCACTTTCAGCACAAAACTGAAAGGCGGTAACTCCTACTGGTAGCAGATGACTCAGTGTTTACGTGTATGCATTGATCGTTGCCAATAGGTACCGATGTGTTACACGCTTTCAGTGTGTACTCAAGCGTCAGCAACTTTTATTGACGTTTTAAACAATATGACCCATGTTTAGACATTATCTGTGCAGTCTGTTTCAGCTTTAGTAAAAATATCTTTTTCGGTCATAAACTGCACGTAATATTTCTGTTATTTTCTGAAATTCATAAAGACCTTTATACAGACCAAGTATCCATGATTCCAGTGTAGGTTGACTTTTGAGTTGGCATACAACTGTCCAAAAGGGCAGTTTCACACTGAGTTATCAAACCTACAGGGACATGTCATGTGCTAAGGTTATTTCCCCATTCACAGAAACTGAATGAGAGGAGGCTGTTGTTGATGTTTTTTTGTTTTTTTTTTAAAAAAGAAGGTCAAATTAAAAGGAATAAGATACGTCAAGGCATTGGTGTAACTTTGTGCTGAACATTGGGGGGGTCAAGATCTCTGTCTAAATAAATCAGGGTAAATTCCTAGATGATTAAACATGCAACTATTTTGCTGGTAATAACTGAAATGAGTAAAGAAAATTAACAGCCTATTTATATTGGTTGGGTCTGATTATGGG